ACGTCACCACGCACTCTTCCTTCCTTTCCTCCCTCCTTCTCCTCTCCTTCCTCTTCCTCCCTCCTCGCTCCTCGCTCCTCCTCCCTCCTCCTCCTTCTTTACCTTTCTCCTCCTCCTCCTCCTCCTCCTCCTCCCTTGCCTTGCCTTGCCTTGCCTTGCCTTCCCTCTCTTGCCTTCCCTCCCTTCCCCTTCTCGTCCCCTCCCTTCCTCCTCCTCCTCCTCCTCCTCCCCTTTCACCCGTCTCTCTCCTCTCGTCCTCCTCCTTCTCTACCTTGCCAACATCGTCATCCTCCTGCTCCTTTTCCTTCTTCTCCTCACTTCGACATTCTCGCAGACTTTGCAAACATCTCGCAAGCGGAGGGTTCACTTTCACTCCTTCATGCTCGAGATGGTGAGGCTGCTGGGCGATCAGCTGGAGGTGACGGTCGAGTCAGCACAGGAAAGCTCACCTGCTCCGCTCCAACGGGAATTTCCTGAGAGAAACTCCTAGATTGATCGGTGAGGAGACACGTGGGAGTGAACGAGAACGAGGATGAGGACGAGGAGAAGGAGGAGGACGAGGAGGAGGACGAGGAGGAGGACGAATGTGATTGTTTCGCTCGCAGGAGAGCTTCTGGCAACTGAGGCAGATGTCATCTGCTTCGATGAGTTTCAGGTGTGGAAAAGGACAGGGAAGAAAGAAGGAGAGGAAGGGAAGGAGAGGGGAGGGGAGGGAGGGAGGGGAGGGGGAGGGAGAAGGGAGGGAAGGGGAGGGAGTAGAAGATTGGGAGTAGAGAAGGTCGTTGAGCAAGATCTCTTTACAATTCTTTCACAGGTCACGGACGTGGCTGACGCGATGATCCTGCGGGTTGTGTTCGAGACGTTGTTCAAGAAGAATGTGGTGAGAGCGACGTGGGGGAAGGAGGAAGGAAAGAATGAAGGAGAACGTGGAGAGGACGAGGACGAGGGGAGGGGAGGGGAAAGGAAGGAGAAGAAGGGGAGAAGGGGGAGGAAGGGGAGGGGGAGGAGCGGGAGAAGGGGGAGGAACAAGGAGAATGGGGGGAGGAAGGGGAGGAGGATTGACGTCTGTTGTAGTTCCTGATCGCAACGAGCAATCGTCCACCTGACGACCTCTACTCTCATGGTGAGACTGAACGAGCTGAGAAAATACGCTGAGCCGCCCCAGGCATCAACAGAGATCTCTTCCTCCCCTTCATCGAGCTGATCAAAAAGGTTTTCTCCTGCTCCTCCTGCTCCTGCTTCTCCTTCCCCTCTCCCCCTCTCCCCCTATCCCCCCCTCCTCTTCCTCCTGCTTCTGCTCCTGCTCCTTCTCCTGCTCCCTAGTCGTCATCCTTCTCCTTCTTCCTCGTCATCGTTGTCCTTCTCCTCCTCCTGCTCTTGCGTTCTAACGTTTTCATCAGAAATGTCTGGTTTTTGACCTCTCAGCTGGAAACAATTCGACCGATTATCGTCTCCTCCACCCCTCCTCCTTCCACAAACAGATCTGTAAAGTCATCCCCATTCCCTCCTCTCACTATCCCTGTCCTCCTCCTCCTTCTCTTACTCCTCCTCCTACTCTTGCTCCTCCTGCTCCTCCTGCTCCTCCTGCTCCTCCTGCTCCTCCTGCTCCTGCTCCTGCTCCTGCTCCTGCTCCTGCTCTTGCTCCTGCTCCTGCTCCTCCTTTCACTCCTCCTCCTCCTCCCTCCTTTCACTCCTCGTCCTCACCTTGCTTTTTTTCCCTCCACAGGGTTCTGCTCACAAGATCCCTCTGCACATGAAAAGCTTGCAAGAAAGTTTCGGGTATCCTCCTCCCTCCCTCCCTCCCTCCCTCCCTCCCTCCCCTCCCTCCCCTCCCTCCCCTCCCCTCCCCTCCCTCTCTCCCTCCCTCCCTCCCTCCCTCCCCTCCCTCCCTCCCTCCCTCCCTCCCCCCCCCCCCCCCCCTCCCCCCTCCCTCCTCCAGGAGCACGACATT